ATAAATAAAAAAGTTAATTTTTTTATTACCTATTTTATGTTTCGCGTAGTTTGAAAAGTTAAACATATTTGAATTCTTCTTAGTAAGATAAACAAATGAAATAATTAAATCATTGAATTACTAAAAAAGTTAAATTACCTAGATAAAAATCAACTAAAAAGGTTAAAAATACTATATGACGAGGAAGCAAAACTGCTTCACAATATCGCTGATGATGTTTAGTGAGTAGGCTTTTAAATTTTAATTAGTATTTAAAACAGAAAAAAGTATAACGAGTTTTTAAGAATGGCAACTGAAGCGAAAATAATTAGAGTTAGTAAACCAATATCTAGAAACTTTACTTTATATCTAAAAATTTGCTATATATATTTGTGTTCTGTCGTAACCTTAGGTGCGGTGTTTGTTCATCTGCGAGTTACTTTGTATGCGTTGTTTGTGTTTAGTAACCAGAAACTTCTTATGTATTTGTTATATAATTAGTTTTATTAACTTTAATGATGGTTATTAACCGAGAATGAGCCATAGTATTGATAATATATTTTTAAAACAATTTATGTTAGAAATCTCAAAACAAATCGTAAATAATACTAATTCTAAAACATTTCAATAGAATACTCTAAAACTTTATTTTACTTAGTCAGCGTATTTTTTGAACCAATAGAATTAGTTTGTTTGTTGATTTGGCGGGTTTTTAGTGTTCGCGAATATTCTTTATATTCTTCCACACCAAGATGTTTTGTTCTTCATCTGTTAGGCTGGCGCAGATGTATTTTTAATACATTGTTTCCAGTTTAGGATGTTGAATGCTGGATCTTCTTGACTCGATTCATGGGTTTTGCTTGTGTCTCTGTTTTTATGACTAGGCAACTCATTCTATTATCTCCAAATGAGGGTACAGCTCTAAAACTCAGTTTTATGGTTCTGAGGCCGGCTGGTAGTCAGGTTTCCCGAACTCTGTAGTAGCTCTCAGAGAAGCTGATTCCATCAACAGCTGAATAATATCAGAGTACTAACAGTGCCATGTTGCGCATGGATGGTGTCCCTGTTTGTACTTTTGGTGTGCATTGCCAAGGCCACATTGGAGCCCTTTGTTACGACTTAGGGTTTATTAGCGGAAATGAGGCAATTGCTTGAGCTATAGAACAGTGTACTGAGTACTATCTATGTTTCGAGTCAAGTTCTTTAACAAATTTAAAAATGAATAAAGTAACAAAAACTATAAAACACAAAAAACCACAGTCATCACCAAGTTTGCTAAACCTATCATTCACCAATATTCGTGGTCTTCGAAATAACTTTACTTCTGTTGAGTCTTATCTCTTGCAAAGTTCACCAGAACTATTTGCCCTTTGTGAGACTAACTTGAGTTCAGCTGTCTCATCTTGCGATCTTAGTGTTGATGGTTATCTTCCTTTAATTTGTAAAGACTCCAATAGTCATATGTTTGGCCAGGGCATTTACATTCGTAAGAATTCACCCATTTGTCGGGAAACTAGGTTTGAATCCACAGACTACCCTTTTATGTGCTTTCGTTTAGCACCACTTCACTCTATCACCTTTCTCTTTGTTCTATATCGCTCTCCCTCATCTCAAGACTGCACTCTTCTTGATATTATTTCTGATTATATTGACCAAGCCCTCTCTTTTTATCCATCAGCCAATATCGTTGTTGACAGTGATTTTAATATTCAATCACACTGAATGGCTTGGCTCTAGTGTCAGTGACTCTGCAGGCATTAAGGCCCACAACTTTTGTCTTTCTCAATCCCTAACTCAAATAGTCAACTTTCCAACTCACTTTCCAGACAACCCGAATCATTTACCTTCTCTACTCGACTTATGTCTTGTTTCTGATCCTAGTCAGTGCTCAGTTTCTTCACACTCACCCTTAGGTGCTTCTGATCATGGTTTGGTCTCTCTAAAACTATCATCTCATTCTTCTTTACCATCAGAATCCCCCTATCGTTGTACATTTTACAACTACCTTAAAGCTGAGTGGGACTCTTTCCGTGATTTTCTTCCTGATGGCTCCTGGGTAGAAATCTTTTGTCTTCCTGTTGAAAAATGTGCTTCTTACATAACTTCGTGGATTCAGGCTGGCATGGAATCCTTTATTCCCTCTTAACGATTCCAGGTCAAGCCTCACTCTTCTCCATGGTTTTCTTCACATTGTGCTGCTGCAATTGCTAATCGAAACCATTACTTCCATTTCTATCAGCAAAACAATTCTCCAGAAAACAGACGTATGTTTATTACTGCTAGGAACCATTGTAAAAAGGTTTTGTCTAATGCCAAAGCCAGCTATTCTCAGATCATGAAATCTTGTATTTCATCACAAAAATTAGGCTCTCGTGACTTCTGGAGAATCTTTAATAGTATCAACAATAAGAGCAAGTCTGTAATTCCACCTCTTTTGTATGGTTCAGACTTTGTCACCTCACCTAAAGACAAAGCTGAATTGTTTGCTAAGAACTTTTCATCAATATCATCTCTTGATGCCACTAGTTGTGTTCTACCTGATATAGCCATCAAACAGGTTGATCCATTGCTCGACATTTGTATCACTCTAGCTTCTGTATCTAAAGTGATTTCCCGCTTAGATAGGGATAACAGAAGCTGCTTTCCTGCTGGAAAGCAGCTTCTGTTATCCTGATTTTTAAAAACTCTTTTCGATTTTCTCGTTCTACGGCTGATTTGCTATCAGTAATAACCAATAGGTTTTATCGCGCATTAGATAAAGGTGGAGAGGTTAAGGCCATTGCTCTCGACATTTCTAAAGCGTTTGATAAAGTTTGGCATGCTGGTCTTTTCCATAAGCTTTCTTCTTACGGTGTATCTGGAAACATCTTTAAGATTATTGAATCCTTTCTTTCCAATCATAGTATAAAAGTTGTCCTTGATGGACAGCACTCTTCTTCTTATTCTGTAACCTCAGGGGTTACCCAAGGTTCAATCCTTGGCCCTATACTCTTTTTGATTTAAATTAACGATCTTCCAGATATTCTCACATCTAAGGTGGCATTGTTCGCTGATGATACTACCATTTATTCTTGTCACGATAAGAAGCTAACTCCCTCCGATTGCTTGCAGGGGGCATCTGAGCTTGAAAAAGATCTCACTTCTGCTACAGCATGGGGCTCACAGTGGCTGGTGAACTTTAATTCAGATAAAACTTAATTTTTTTCGGCCAAGCATTATCGCAATAGTTTAGACCTTCCTATATTTATGAATGGTAATGTACTCCATGAGTCTCCTACCCTTCATCTTCTAGGATTAACTCTTACTTCTGATCTTTCTTGGAAACCTCATATCAAATCCGTTGCAAAATTAGCATCTGCTAAAGTTGCTTCTCTTTATCAAGCTTGTCACTTTCTTACTCTGGATTCTATTCTCTATCTCTATAAATCTCAAATCCGGCCTTGTATGGAATACTGTTGCCATATCTGGGGCGGATCTTCTAATGATGCTCTTTCTCTTTTAGACAAGGTGCAAAAACGCATTGTAAACATAGTTGGACCTGCTCTTGCAGCCAACCTTCAACCTCTGTCACATCATCATAATGTTGCTTCTCTTTCTCTTTTCTACAAATATTATAATGGGCACTGCTCAAAAGAGCTAGCGTCTCTTGTGCCATCTATTAAAATTCATTCTCGTGTTACTCGTCATTTAATTAAGTCTCATCCATTTTCTGTTACTGTTCCTAAGTGCTCCAAAAACTCTTATTCGTCTAGTTTTTTTCCTCGAACATCAGTTCTTTGGAATTCGCTTCCTTCATCTTGCTTTCCTGATTCATATAATTTGCAATCTTTTAAGTCGTCTGTCAATCGTTATCTTGCTCTACAATCTTCATCTTTTCTCTTTCAGTAACTTCCAACTCTAATTAGTGGTTGCTTGCAGCCTTGTTGGAAGCGAAGATAATTAAATATATATATATATATATATATATATATATATATATATATATATAAGATTAATAATATATATAAATGCAAATATATATATTATATACACACATACACACACACACACACACACACACACACACACACACACACACACACACACACACACACACACACACACACACACACACACACACACACACACATATATATATATATATATATATATATATATATATATATATATATATATATATATATATATATATATATATATATATATATATATATATAATTAATATTTTTACCTGACTGCTTGCATAATTATAAACTTATATATGAATTTAAAAAAATTCAAAGTATGAACTTTTTATTGTTAAGTCAGAGCTTTGACCAAAAAGTCAGAAGTAGAAAAAAAGAATCAATAATTATTGTCAGAGAGTGAGCTGTTTTACTTGAGATGAGATATTAGACATTGATAATTAAAGATTTGAAAAATTAAAAATTTGACTAAAAAAACTGATTTGGTACTAGTTAGAGGGGTCAGAGCAATTATTTTGAGTCATTCAGTATGATGAGCATTCAAGTCACCAATAACAACAATATTTTTTTTTATTTAGGTGCCCCAAGAAGTCCTTACTAACCGAAGGATAGTAGCCATCAACACTACAATTCAAATATGAAACAACAGAACTTAAATTAGTCTCATAAAAAGAATACTTTTAAGCTAGAAATGAATTAGCCTATCTGAGAGCTACAAAGTTTGGGAAACCTTATTACCAGAACTGGGTAAATTAGCTACACCATTGGACCTGATTTTTTTTTGTTTTATACTACTCAACTTTTTTGTCCTCACATAAATTTAGCATTATTATCTCATTTTCTATTTCCTGATCATTAAATTTTTTTTGCTATCTGTTTTCTTTCTAAATTTTACTATTAAAAAACTTTTACAAGTAGTTTCAAAATATTTTGTATTTAAATATTGTGGTTTTTATCAGATACTTATATATACACATATAATTCTCTTGAAATTTGAAATTAAAAAAATCTGCATTAAAATGGCTAAAAAGTTTCAAATTTAAAAATATTTTATACCTTTCCTGCTTGCATGTTCTGCCATAACTAACTTTTCTTTGATATAAAGAAGATGTTCAGATTGTTCTCCAAGTTCTTTATGATTTTGTAACAGATTAAATAACTCCCTAAAAGCCACATGATATCCTTCCTGCAAAATTTCAACCAGTAGTAATTGGGTTACAGTTTCATGGAATCTTGAATAAAATGGAAAAATTCTAATCAAGCAATACAAATAATAATACAATATAATGTAATAGAAAGCTGTAGTAGTTCGAAAAAATTTTTTTTTTTAATTTTATTCTGATTCAATCCCAACAAGACTGTAAGCAAAAACTGACAGCATATACATTGTTTAGTTTTTCTAAGTAAATAAATTAAATCATAAATTACATATCATATAGCACTAGATATTTATTGATGTGAGTTTTGAATAAGTTACAAATCATATAGCACTACATATTTATTGATGTGAGTTTTGAACAAGTTCAAGCTTTTGTTTTTGATGATAAAATCTGGTTGTTTGTTCCACATTCATGATACTCTATAGGAATTGATGACGGAAATTGCAGTTTTTAACAATTTCTCTTCTGATTTTGAAGTTATGGTCCCTTGTGTTGAGCTGATACAAGTCAAAAATATTACTATCTAGTTCTATATTTATTTTTTTAAATAGTTTGTACATTTAAATTAAGTCGCCCCTATACATCTTTTTTCCAGTATGCTTAAGCCAACTATTTTAATCGTTGTTTCATAAATTTGTTTTCAAATCCGGGATATCCATTTAGTGGCATAATGTTAAACTGTTTCAAGTGCAATAATATCACTTTAAGATATGGGCACCATGCTTGTATCTCAAATTTAAGATAGGGTCTTATAAATGTTATGTATAGTACTTTAAACATTTTTTTGTTGTCTGGTTATGGTACTTTTCCATTTGAGATTTGATGACATTGTAATTCCAAGATCTTTTTCAATATCAGAGAAGGCTATTATTTTGTTTATACCTAGTTTATACATATAGTTTATAAAATTTTAAAAGTTTGTACATATAATCTATAAAATATATTTATAAACCTAGTTTATAAATATAGCAAAGGTTATTTTTTCAGTATTAAATTGTAATTGCCAGATGACCATTTGGAGGCTTGGTTAATTTTATTCTGACCATTTGGAGGCTTGGTTAATTTTATTCTGACCATTTGGAGGCTTGGTTAATTTTATTCTGAAGCAATCAATCATTCTAAAAGTTAGCTACTTTACCAATTAACTTGGTGTTATCTGCAAAGAGCTTAGAGTGTTCTAAAATCTCTGGTAAATCATAGATATATGTAATGAATAAGATTGGAGAAATTACCAATCCTTGAGGAACACCATTTTTTATCATTACCCAGTTAGATGCTTCATTGCCTTGTATCACTTTTTGGTGTTGATTAGTTAAAAAGTCACAAATCCATTGCAAATGACATTTGATATTCCATATGACTTAAGTTTGATTAATAATTGTTTATGTAACAAATATCTACTGGATTGTTTTCCACTAGCAATTTACTCAAAAAGTCCATTATTTCAATTAGATTTTTTAAACAAGATTTCCCCTTTACAAATCTATGTTGATATTTACTTAATAGACCATTATTTGACATATTTTTATATCTTGTGTCAGATATAATACTTTGAGTACTTTAGAGGCTATTAAGGTTAATAAAACTGGTTTGTAGTTGCTAACAATTAGCCTGTTTCCTTTTTTGAATATTAAGGTTATGTCTGCCAATTTCCATTTAATAGTTCTGGTTTTGAGCAATTATTCAAAAATCATAGTGAGCAGTAAAGCAAAGGCAGATGCACATTGTTTTAGTGCTATTGATTTTACCATGTCTGGTCCTGGAGATTTATATTTATTTAACTGAAGAAGTTTTTCTTTAATTAATTTCACAATTATTATATCTATTATTGCCTCACAAAGGTAAGACAAAAAGTAACTTTTGAGAACCAGTAAGTTATTGGTATTCTCCCTGGCAAGACAAATCTAAAGTAATCATTCATAATGTGAACTATTTGGGTAGGTTCTTTAATTAGTTTATTATTGGATGTTAAAGCTTAGATGGTATTTTTAATTTTTTTTACAAGATTCTTTTCATATGAGCATTTTACTTATAGTGCTTTACTCTTTAAGTCTTTGCATACTGCTTTGTATTTTATTTTGCATTTAGCATGTTTATTGTTCCTTGAATATAAATTATAATAATAATTAATACAATATTAAACCATAGTGACCTTTTGATACACACTAAATCTTTAATTTCTCATGTGATCCAGGGGGATCTATTAGCATTATGAGGTCTATTTCTAATTCATATTAATACAGAATGCCTATATTTGGTGTTGCCAAGAGGAGATAAATGCATTAATTCAAATACGTTGTTAAATTTATCGGTGAATATTTAGCCTAACGCACTCATAGGCATAACACCATCGTTAAAGAACATTGTATCACAAATGTGTTGATACAATGAAGATTTAAATGTGCAAAATATGACTTATTGACAAGTAAAAATTATTGTAAATTAAATAATTTATGAAACTTTTAACAAGTTATAATTAAAAGGTTAAATTCTGTGTACTTGTATGGCTATGACTTTCAGTGTTACAATAAGAAACAATCCTAATACCTGTATACATAAGCAGAAGTTTGTGATCTATACTAAAAACTTTGTGAACTATATAGGGACCTTAGAAAACAGTTTATTTATAATTTATTGTTAGTCACGATTAATCATTAAAAGGTTTTACTCAAAATTTAAAAACAAAAGTTTATTGTGGTAAAGAAAACAAGAATTTTAAAATAAATTTAAATTTTCCTTCTTTTTTTAAAAACCTGTTAGGGGCTGTCCATTAATTACTTCAACAAAATAGAGGGTAGGGAATGGTTCTGAAATTTTTTGACAATTATTAACAATAGGGTGGGAAGGGGAGGTCAAGACAATTTGCGTCAACAATGCTACTTTTTTAAACATATTTAATTACTTATAAAAAGAAAATTAGGTAATATTTGCCTGTCCTGTGTTACACACTTGCTCAACCTTCAGTGTTTTAATAATGCTATTTACATTCTTACTTCTTAAAAACCTTGTTATCCCTTAAAAAGACCCAACACATACAAAACTAAATAAGCACAAATGAGATGTTTACTCAAAACACTATTACTTTTCAAAGTTGTTATTGATTAGTCTGCTGTGCAAACAAAGAAGATTTATGCATGTATATAGTCTACATTATTTAAATGTTTATACAAGGGGTCAGCAAATTGAGGTTTGCAAGCCTCGTGTGGTTCTTTCAATGTCAAGATAGGGTTCTTTATCTCCATGCACAATTACTAATATAATATTGAATTAAAGATGTAAAATTTTGTAAACTGAATTTTGTAACCTTGACTCATCCGTCTCAAAAGGTTGCCAATCCCTAGTTTATGCAATTTGTTAGATGCATTTTAAATTTGTTAAATGTAAAAAGTATTTATAGTTTGTTAAGTTTTTAATTTTGTTTCTGTGTAAATTTAGAACAAACCTTTGTAAATATTAAAACAGAGTATTTGAAGTGTTGTATTAATTTGAAATATGTTCATAATTTAAACATGTAAAGAGTATACAATTTTGTGAACCCTTTAACCTTTTTTTTTTGTTTAGAGTAAGCCATTGTAGTTATAAACTGGAAATATGGTCATAAGTTAAAAGTTTATTAAATCTTTTACTTTTATTCACATTTTATTCAGAGCAAGCATTTGTAATTTTAAATGGTTATACTTGTTTGAAATATGTTCATAAGTTAAAATTTGAGTAAATTTTTTTTCTAAACATTTAATCACATTTTTGTTTTAGTTTATTTGTTTATTTATTTAATTATTTTTTTAAGGTGGAGGAGGAGGGGTTTATGGAATGTTTTCTGGAGGCTTAACAAGTTGTTGACAAGGGGGAGGGAGGTGAGATCGCCAAAAAATTATTGACATAATCAATGGACAACCCCTTAGATGTAGCCCCCTGTATTTTTTGGTATAATTTTTATTAAACTATAATGAAAATCAATAACCAAAGCAAAAATCTTAACATTTTTTTTTCTCCAAAAGTCTACAAAATTATAAAAACAGATTAATTGATTTGTGTTATTACCAAATTACTTAATAATTTTCCTTCTTAATACTGAAAAAGAATAACAGGTTCTGATTTTAATAAATGTTAATTACAAAAAATATCATTTATATTGATGTGTTTATGTTGATCAGTTTTTGATTTACCTATAAGCCAACTAGGTCACAGCCTAGGGCCAACAATTTTGGGTTCAAAAAAAAAAAATTTTTTCTCAGATTTTTAGAGACTTATATTTGAAAATTTTATTTTCATGATATTTTATTAAATTTAAGACAACATATAAGAACAATTTTATTCTTAATTTAAACTCATTGAGCCAGAAAAAACTAGATCAAATAACTAAATCCTGAAAATGTTATTCAAGATTCTATGTAAAGTTCAAAGGTTTTTAATTTTTATCTTGCTACAACTGGATTAAAAGGCTGAAAAAATGTATTTTTTATTTTTTTGAAAAATCTGTTGAACACTAAGAAGAATCAAAGGCTTATTTAATCCAAAGAAGTCATAACAGATTGGATAGAATCACAAAGACATTTAAACTTGGTTGGATCTTCAGGAGATGTTGTTTGTCTAGAAGTGAAATAGAATTATAAAGGTGTTGTTCAACAAATTTACAATTATTTTTCATTATCAACAAAATGATGGATCTAAAAGATCTGAAAAGAAACCCAGCATATATGGTCAAAGCACATTTCAAAACTAGATGCAGCGCAAGATCAGATTCAGTAAATCTTATAAAACTGTGTTGCAAAAATATTTTAAGATCACTCACAGATATTATTGAAGACGAAGTTCTGAAGTAACTGTCAGAGCTGAGGCACAAAATATTTTATCAAAAATGAAAGAGCTTGAACTTGCTATTAAAACAGTTTTTTGGAATTCTAGAAAGAATGAACTAGTTTCAAAACCTTTGCAAGATTCAAAAATAACATTAGACACATGTTATTTTTTTTTCACTTCACTGCAGATTATATTCAGATTCTGAAAAATTATTAAATGTAATAAATTGAAAAATAAGCCTTGAAAGAAATAATGAAATTAAAAAAAATTGTAGTTTCATGTTTAAATTTATCCAAAAAAAAAAATCCAGACAAACAGAAAAAAATGTCACAAAAAAAATTACAAAAATTTAATTCCTAAGGAACTTAAAAAACTTTTTAAAATTCTTTAAATTTGATAAGGTCTTTGATTACAACAGCAACAAAAAAAAATTAGCAAAAAAATATGGGAAACTATTTTCGAGGCCCTAAAAACCAATTCGCTCCAAGAGTGTGTAAATTCGGTCCTGATAGTTATATATTTACATTACAGTTGATTCTCGATATCTCGAACTCTCAGGGAACCGGTAAAAAGTTCGAGATATTGAGAGTTCAAAATATTGAGTGGATTTTGGCTCAAACGAATGCGCAAGGGACCGGAAATAAAGTTCAATACACAAAAGTTCAAAATAACAAGTAGTCAAGATATCGAGAGTCAACTGTAATGTACTTACAGTGAAGTATTTATAGCAATTATTGATAGTGATAGCAAAAATTATCAAACATAATGGGTTAGTTTAAAAATCTAATAAACGACAATATATATTTTCGTACCAACCTATTAAAATCTAGTAAACTACACTATATTTTTGATTTAGCTTAATATCTTTTTTGTAGTAGCAAAATATCTTTCAAAAATTAACATTTTCACTTAATATTAATTACAATTATAACAAGAGTTCTAAATAATTAAATTGACATTTCTGAACCACTGTTCCACTTCATATTTATTAATAAATTATATGCTAAACAATTATAATATTGTACTTACCTCTTTGGATCTTTCTCATTGTCAAACTTTCTAGAAAGGTTTGAATTTTGATTTACTGACATTTTCAATATTGCTCATTTCATTACTAAGATCTTTTTAACAACAAACAATATGAATTATCATCACCATTGTTGTTAATTTTTGATCATGACATTCAATAACATATGTAGATGTTAAAATAAATATGTAGAGTACAAAAGTGTGAATAAATACAAACATATATGTATGTATGTATGTATGTATGTATGTATGTATGTATGTATGTATGTATGTATGTATGTATGTATGTATGTATGTATGTATATATGTATGTATATGTGTATTTGTAAATACTTAATTTGATGTTTGGTATTTTAAGTCGATTAGTAATACACTTCAATAAATGCTTTGGACTTCAATTTTACCAAAAAATAGGCACCTTGTTTATAATAAAAAAAAAAAAAAATTTAAAAACCATTTTTGTTTTAAACTAAAAGTTGATTTAATGTTTTATCAACATTAAATTACTTTGGATTTAAACCAAGCTTATTTTTAAAATCGGTGGTCAAAAACTGATTATTGGTAACAAAATAAAGTATTTAGGCATATTATTGGATGAAAATCTTCTGCTCATTCAACAAATGAAATCCATAGCAATTAAACTAGGTCAAGCAATTGGAATGCTTACCAAAATAAGGCATTTTGTTGATTACAAAACCCTTGTGAATATTGCCATACTACTTTTAATTCCCATCTGCACTATGGTTGTGAGATATGAGGTCAAAGTTCATTCATTCATAAAAAAAAATAAAAAATTTCAAAATAAATCATTAACAATAGTTTATTTTTAACCTAACAGTTTTAATTCTAATATATTATATAGTTTTTCTAAAAATTTAAAACTTGACAAACTCATCTACTTGTCAAAATAGGGTAATTCCACATCAAATCACCCACTCCATTGAACCATGTGTCTTCTTTTTGTTTTATATTTTGACACATGATTCCTATTTATAAAAAAATATTGCATGCAAAATTTCAGCTAAAAATGTCAAGCGGTTGACAAGATACAGCAAATTTAATTTGGACCTGGTTTCTCAAAATGACCCGGTTTTCATAACATTCTGAAAAGTTGTTTTCCTCAATAAAATAAGAAATAAAAATGGCAAAAATATAAAAATATACATTTATAATGGTTTTTTAATGCAGAATTCAATAAATGTACTTAAAATGCTGAAATGTTAGAGGAACATCCTTAAAAATTAATAAATCAACTAGTTTATATAATATAACTTTAGGGCCCACCCCCGTCAAATTTTTTTTTTTTTTTTGCTTTCAATATTTTAAGCTAGTTATAATCTTACTAGGCACAAAAAATCTAACTGGAAAAAAAACTGAAACATATAGAACTTTAATTTTAAAGATGTATAACTTTTTTAAGAAATTCCTAAAAAATATTTATAAATTCAATTAAAATAAATTATTCCTAATTTACAAAGTTACTTAAATATACAAGATTTTTAAAGGTATCGAATGTGCAAGTTATTTTGACTGTATTTGTAATAGTTCACAATATTGTTGCCATTTTACTTGCACTTCTTCTATTTCAACATTTTCAAACACATAGTTTCTACCAGAACTAGAGCAAGCTTGTGGAACAGATAGTTTTTTCAATATATTGATGTTAGGAATAAAACAGTGGTCGTCTCTTTCAGGCCAGTTAAAATAGATTGATGGACCTCTTGGGTGGAGAAACTTAACTTCAGCATCAACTTCTTCTAGGTTGATTTCAGTTACAATGCCGATCCACCACTTATCATCATAAACTACCGCAACATAACCTCCTAAAGTGACAGTATCAGGTTCAAATATATGTTTCTTTTTAAGATTGTGAACTATTGTATATTTAGTGTCTGTACTACACCTCTTCGCCCCAACCCTATTATCTCCAAGATGTATAAATTGATGAAAGCTACGAGTACCTGGTAGAGTTGTTACATCAGTGTACCTTTCTTTTTACTTTTTACGTTGCAATTGTAAGTCCAATCCCTTTATGTAAATGAAGTTAACAGCCTTAAATTTCTCAACACAAAATTCATACATAGCCTTTGATGTGAGAATTTGGTTTCTGTATGGTCGTTTTAAACTTTCTTGTGCTGTTAACCTTTTTACAGTACCACCAATTCCATCGCATGGTGACTTTCCGTGGGACGTGGCAAAAAAGTTCCATTCAATTTTGAGGGAAAATTCTGTCTCTAGTTGGCATAGATTGTAAAAGCTTTTACAATTTTTGTACTGTCCTGCACAACCATCAGTGAATAAATGCAATTTGGATAAATCAAGAAATTTTGTTTTTAATATTGGTATAATTAGTTGAAATATCTTGTAATGACATAAGTTACATCGTGTGTAATGTCGTCTGATATAAAACAGTAAGAAATATGTTTCACTACACCATTTTCTTCTTTATAGTATATCACTAATGGATGTAAAGAACATTGTTGGGTGTTCCAGTGATAGCTCTGTATTTCATCTTGGACTACAAAAGCATAATTTTCAGCAAAGTCGCCAAGAATGATAATGTTTGATTGATCCATATTTTCTTTTAGTTGATTAAGGTATTGTGATTGAGATTTGGCAATATAAGAATGAGATTGTAGCTTTTCAAAACAAGATACCAATAGTTCAATAAACGTTGGAACATCTGTTGTTAAACTCAATAGTGTTGCACGATCAGTAGTTTGCCATTGTTTGTAGTGTATCTCAAAATCATCTTCGTATTCTCCAAAAATCTCATACAAATACATGGTGAGCAGTTCTTTACCAGGACAATTATCACACTGTGCAAGCATGCATTCTTTGTTTTCTACTGAGCAAACAGTTTTCAAAAGTAAATCCTTATACGTTAGTTCAATATTTAAGGCATCCACTAGCAAAATGGCATTTTGGTGATAAGAACAAACACAAACAGAATGTGTACCACTTGCACCTGGCAAAATGCACCACTTTGGTCTAAGTGAAGCAAATTTTGAGTAACTTATTTGTATTTCTGGATTGTTTTCTTTGTATAATACATATAGTTCCTTTAAATTACACAAAAGCAGTTTTTTTTGTTTGTGGACGTTCTTTTGAATGCTGACATAATCTTTTTTTCCAGGCATAGTTCGACATAAATCACTTGAGTCATAAAACAATTTAACTGAATCTTCTATTTCTTTATGTAAGACTTTACCCTTATACAATGGAGAGATACCTAACAATCCTTTTTTATTAAAAATTTTTCTAGCCATCTTGGCCTGGTATTCTGTAACCGAAAAGTTATTTTGTACTTCTAATATTGACCAACTTGGGGGTGCCAGTGTTAGAAGTTGAACAATAGTTCGTTTGTCAGAACATAGAATTTTTTCTTTTACCAAGCTCATAACTTCATCAAAGTTTGCAGCCTTCTTTTTCATCCCATTGGTTTCATAACATAGTTTTGAGGAAAATTGAGTTTCAATTTTTCTAGTAGCGTTATACGTCATTTCGTTGAAGCATGCAACTTTTTGCTTTCCTTCTGACAGTATATGTTTTAATGATTTTGAATGAGATTTTAGAGGAGATAAACTAAAATTTTTGAGTTCTTTATTGATCTCCTGTCTTATTTTTTTGCATGGTGATATTAGAAAATCCTCATCTTGTTCACTCTTACTTTGCTCCTCTTCTGTAAGTTCTTTTTTTCTGGCAATCTTTTGTTTACAAGGTTTGCAAAGTTTCTTCCCAGGAGGAATATTCAAACAATTTCTCATCATGACTTGTGACTCTTTTATTGTAACTACGCCAAGATTTTCTAAAAGTAATTGAATTGTATAAAGTATGTCTGCACATTAGTTCAAAACTTTCGTTTATTTTTTGAAAAACATAAATTAATGAAATATTTAAATTTTACAGCTACATACTTGTGATTTTCTTTGTATGTCTATTGAATGGATCACAACAAGCTTTCTGCCATATAGGATACATTTTCAAATATTTTGTATTATGTCTTTCACATAATATTTCTAAGTTTGATAATTCAATATTACAGCGTAAAGATATAATTATTTTTTCTTCATTGCTTAAAGTTTCAATAACATCTTGTTGGCCTTCGCAAGCATCTGATGTCATTAACCCAATAGAACACATCTTAATAAGATAAATTATTTAGTATGAAAGTATTTCCTAAAAATAAAAATAAAATTCTTCTACTTAATTGTATGTAAAAAAAGTTTTTTAATAAATATAATTTTTAATAAATGTTGTTCTTAATATTATTATTATTATTAATATTAATAAATGTTGTAAAAAAAGAAGTTTTTAAATAATTATATTATTTAAATTATTAATTTTTTAAAATTTAAATATAATCTTACCAATAAATGTTGTTCTATATCTGAACTTTTATAAACTAAACTTTTATAAACTAATTTTTAATAAACTTTTACAAACTATAGTTGTCAAAATTAAAAAAAATATCATATTAACATAACAAGTATTTTTTATAAAATGTTTTTATATAAAAACAAAACCGAATGTTTTTTCAGTTGTTAAGTTCATATAATTAAGTTATCATATAATTAAGACTTCCGTAAATATATAAAAAGTCTATTAACCAAAATTAATTCTTTACAGAATTCTATAATTTGCTACACATGTACTATCTTTAGGAAGATTTTTAGCAGCTTTTAAGTGATGCCATACCCTTTTAATTTTTTAATTAGTTTGCAATGAAGTGTATTGAATGCTTTTGCAGTAAGAAAAAAGCAATTCGAAGGATACAAAAAAAAAAAAGATCTTTCCTACTTAGTTTTCAGTAAAAAAAAAAAGCTCTAGTTTTAAATATATAAAATAATGATATAGTATTAGATATTTCCAAATCTTTGGCTGTAGGATAATTGGAGCTTGATAAGAGTTAACAATGATGTCTCAGTGGATTTAATCCTACTTTCTATTTTTTAACTCATCTACAACTTATCACTACTAAGTAACTACTGTTCATACAAAGTAGTTTGATATGTTTTATTGGCTAAATGGTTTAAATGACAGAAATATGGCAATGCCAGGTGTTATTGAAACACTATTCTCCTCCCCTCTAACTGTAATAAAAAAAGTTGTTTTCACCATGTCTTTTTCAATATGCTTTTTTTTAAGTATTCTTGGTAAATTGAACTAAATTAGAACATCACTAAAAATATTTTGTTGTTCCCTCACCCCTCACCCTCGTTAGAAAATTGCTATGGGCACCCATAAAAGTGGTGTATCTTGGAAACTATGGTTCTATATATTTTAGTTGTTTTTCCAGTTAGGTTTTTTGTGCCTAGTAAGATAATAAGTAGCTAAAAATATTAAAAGCAAAAAAAAAAAAATCTAGACGGGGGTGTTTTGAGATATATGACCCCTAAGTTTGAATATATAAATTAGGTGTGTTTTTAATTTTAAAGCATGTTCTGCTCATATTTCAGCATTCTAAGTGCATTTTTTGAATTCTGCATTAGAAAAGCATTATAAATGCTAATTTTCATATTTTTATTTTCATTATTTTTCATTTTATTAGAGCAAACGTTTTTTTAAAATGACACAGAAACCAGGTCATTTTGGGAAACCAGGTCTATATTAAAACCTTGATATCTTGTGAACGGCTGAACATTTTTGGCTAAAATTTTGCATGTGAACTTTTCTATATGAAATGCAACAGCTAAAGAAGTTTAAAGAAAATATGAGACCTATGGTTCAAAATCTTGAAAAATTTGGGTGATTTGATGTGGAATTACCCATTAAGTACTTATGTGGGACATAACCCATAATAACATCCCAAGCTGCTTTAATAGCTACAGAATAATATTATTGTTATTATTATTATTATTGTTGTTGTTTTGCAATAAATGTTTACACCATCGTAGATCTTTACGTATCATCATTTTATAACTGTTTATAAACGTTTCTCACTACTATATATATATATATATATATATATATATATATATATATACATATATATATATATATATATATATATATATATATATATATATATATATATATATATATATATATATATATATTTATATATTTATATATATATTTATATATATATATATTTATATATATATATATATATATATATATATATATATATATATATATATATATATATATATATATATATATTATATATATATATATAT